CTTCCGTAATTACATGCGCAATTCATCAGATGGGATGTGATTGCAGGGGAAGTGGAATAGAGAGGAGCAGAGAGGTCTGATTCCTGGAGGACTAAAGTCTAATCACAAAGCTAACATGATAATTGAAATCTAAATTGAAAGGCTTAGGTTTCAGGCAGAGTGTGTCAGACATGGAGTGTAGAGGCGCTAGTGAGAGCGAGTGAAAGAGCGGCAGGAAGAATACGATTTTAACAACAAACCCCCCCCCCAAAAAAACAAGTGATTCATATCAGCATCAACATAAAACTCAAAGGCCAAAAATTAAAATGTACTCATTATCTACTCACCACAATACCGATAGAGAAACTGCAGCTATTGAAAGTTCCCGCGATAATCACAAGTTCTTTTCAGTTGCATCTAATGATAGGGACATATTGTGTTGAAGCTCCATTTCACCTCAAAGGCTGTGCTGTCTTTACATTCAGTTCTCATGTTTTACTTACCCAACCCAGCGGAGGAACTGAGGAAACGAGACGACGCAGACAAGTCCTCTGTCCGATCCCCCCCCCCTCCCCCTCCATACCTCCGGACCACAGGATTCATATTCATCCCTCAATAACGTTTAATTAGTAATGCCAAATTCATTAACCTGTACTGCTGTTACGCTGGCCTCAGCCATAAATTAGCTTAATGTGAGCAGACGTATTGCAGCTGTAATAAGGGACATAAAACTCAAAGAGAAACACATACTGTTCCTCCATGGATCATAGTCATGGATCGTTATAATTCAACAAGGTTTTTAGAGCAGGAGCTTTCTTTTTCAGACTCGCAGCTCTTTACAGCACTTAACTATCAGCCTATCAAAAGAGCTGTGTAGTCACGCCTCGGGAAACTTGTTTTAGTGCTGGTTGAAATAAAAACAATATTATGGAAATGCATTACTCATGACGGCCATTACTTTCATCACCACTTGTCACCTCACAGATGTCAATGCTTAAACTAAAATACGGAGGCTATAACATCATTGAGCGTTTAATTGAAATAGAAAGAAGCTGAGAAATGATGTTAATGAAAGTCAAGAGTGAAATGCTTAAATATTACAGTAATTTTAAGATTCATGTACGAGTCCGCATAGTTTTAGTTGAAGTGTCAGAAAAAAGAGAAGCTGTCGTTTAAATACTTTACAATATACAATGTAGCATATTGTATATTATGAATTCTAATTATTTATACTATAGACTCTGTGTGCACATATATATATATTTATACATAAAATGGGAAAACAAGTGCATTGAGAAAACAAACGGTTATTGTAAAGACGTGAGACAACTTGCAGTGTCCTGTGATTACAACATGTTGACCTTTCTCCTCCTCTATCCCCCAGTGATCTCGCCTAACAACTCACACCAAAGAGTCTATTATGCCTGGATCCCATTTTGTTGTTTAAAAGGGTCTTGTCCTTTCAGAACACTCACTTCCTTGCTTTCTGTTTTTCAAGCATAGGTGGTGGAGGAACACAACTTCATTGTTCCCTTGCAAATGGAAGTTGGAGTTACCAGGGTAACAGCTCCAATCTTTCTTTTTTCCTTTTTACCACTTTTTTATATTAATAGCCTATCAAGTGCTACCTTTAAAGTCACAGGCAGGAGTGCTCATCCACTTTTAATTAGCTGTGATTCTGTTTGCCAGGAGACAGAATGATGAGCTAATCGAAATTTACGAAATAATGATGTACTGCAAGCAGCTACTTCTTTCTCCTGAGGCCCTCTGCAAGAATAACAATAATGAGGCCATTATCAGGGATTGCGCTTTAAAACACTGTCCTGCCACCAAAAACAGAGGACATAATTGTTCTGGCTCTTTCCATACAATCAACAACCCATTGTTGATGACTTGAGAACTAAGGGAGCTTTCATATGGAGAAAGGCTGAGCGTCACACAGGCTCGTGTGAAAGGTCCAAAACACCCATTTACATAACTTCAAGTATAACTAAGATAATAAAATGTGTGTTTGTCCTCTATAAGAAGACAACAAGGTGTTAGTGAAGAATAATGTGATATTTGACCATTGCTTCAGTAAATATGTACAAAAAAGTCTGTTTATTTGACAACTCGTGTTTGTCAACATGATCATCATGGAACACGCCAAGATGATTCAGTGAGTTAACTGCATGTCTGCATCACAAACACAGCTCAGCCATTTGTAAATCAAACATTCCTGATCCCTGAAAGTACATTATGATAAATAGAGGTTGAAAATGAAATATTTTGTTTTAAGTTTCACGTCTGAACTTGGTGGGTGAGAGCTCAGCGGGATTGTACAAACACCTCTTAGCTGTGCTCATTGTAAAAGAGCGAGAGAGACAGAGCTCGAGGGCAGGAGGAATGCTAAGTGGGCCCCTTAGCCTAGTCAACCTTCAGTGGGTTTCATTTATCTTCATCTTGTTAGACTAAATTAATTAACAATCTCAATGTTACACACTTTCTCCTTTCATTACATCAAATAATGGCAGAAATGGAGGGGGAGGTCCTGCCCACTGGGAGTAGACAGAGACTGAAGACATCTCTCTCCCGTTCTCTTTCTCTCTGCTTATTGCTCTCTGTATTCTGTCTCTCTTCCTTCCCCCTTCTCTCTCTCAATCTCTCCCCCTTTCTCTCTCCTTCTTTCTTTCTCTCTCTCACTCAAGCTCACGCTCTCAGTCTCTTCCACTGCATAAACAAAAACCTGTTAAACGTCTTCCGTATAAACACATGAAAAATTGATCTAAACTTAAACACGTCTTCTCTCCAACAAAGAGGCTCACGGCAACATGGGCATAAATAATTGTCTATTACAGACAAGTTTTGCTTTACTTTCAGAAACACTAAGAACTTTTACAGACGTGCATTATTTTTATGAGACACAATCTTGTGCATAAAATATGAAGTTTACACTCCAATAAGAGTTTGATGTATTTTTCACGATGGCCTTGCATTAGGAAAGAACTTTTACAGCTATTACGACTCACTGTATGCATGACTCAAAACCAAACTCATGACTCATTACAATAATGAAAAGCCCATCCTGTGTGCTACTGAGATGACGTACAGGATAAAAAGTCAATAACATCTGCTCATCGGGGCAGAAATGTAGGAGCATGTTCAGAAATCCCCCTTTGACCTATTTCAGCTGCTTGAGAAAAGACACTGGAATTCTTCAGTGGAAGAATGTTTAACTGCCACATCCATCCAACCCGTGTTTCGATCCTTTTCTCCACTTTCACCCCTACCCCCACTCCTCAGCCCACTCCAGGACACAAGTCTTATCCAAGCAAAAGGGCTAACCCTCTACCAAAGCCTGCCTTTAATCTCGGCCTGATTGTTGAGGCCTCCAATCTCCAGCCAGCATGCGTGATATCTTTCTACTGGCACTTCTCCTTTAATTAAAACAGACATTGACAGAAGGATGTGGATTAGCGGTGCAATAATGTGTTTACTCAGAATAATCACAGCTATGAGAACAAAAGGAAATTGTTGAAAAACTGCCAAGGTCAGAGGTCATATTTCTTTTTTTCCTCTCTTTCTCCCTCTCCCTCTCCTGTTGTAGATGTGGGTTTGAATGTACAAATGTCCGCGGGAGAATTTGAAATGTCCCATCCCACCACAACACATACAGGACCCCGATCACACGTCTTCAGCACAGTGAGTTATCCACCAAACTGGTTCTGACAGGTGGTGAGAGTTAAACACTGTCATCCACTTTGCAGCCTTACTCCAAAGATTGTGGAAATGAGCTTAGGCAGTGCGCTCTCTAACATGTTCTATAGCTGGATAACTCCTGTCAAACCATAGCACACATACCACACCAAATAAATCAGTGTCAAAGATAAAACAGCTACTGTACATTTTTGCATTATTTAATTGATTTGTTTACTGCAGCCAGTAATTATATAAATAATATATTAATATATACTAAATTGATATGTATATATAAATGTGTATATATAAACAAACAACAGTAATATATTCCTATGTGAAAATGTCATTTTGATAGATAGATAGATACTTTATACAAAATGCTTCTGCAGGCTTAAGTTATCTAAATTTCAGATCCTAAATAACTGAATAAATGTAAATCCATGAGAGATTTTCCTATTGAATTCCACCATTACACTTCGACTCATGAGAGTAATGGCATCAAATTGTCCTTTCTTTTTAAAATGCCCCCAACAGTTCTGAGAGAAGAAAAAAACGCTGTTAATTTAATCAAATAAGTGACCTTTTGAAAAAGAAATCAAAGAGGATTCATTAGCTTTAGTAAAGTTTGGCTGACAGCAGCTTTGAAAAGCAGATGCTGCTGCTGTGGCTTCTAATGAGCCAACCCCTAATTAGGGAGCAACACTGTAGCTTAGAGAAGGTGGTTGACTAGGAAAGGAGCCAATGGTAAATACGCTCTCTTATTTACTTCCTCTGTGTGTAATGACAGCACACATTTTTAATTAGAATCACAGGAAGGGTAAAGACAAAAAAATGTAAATCTTTATGTTAGGGTGAATACAAACACAGAGCACAACAGGAAGCAACAGCACATCACAAGACCAATATACCAGCGACTGCCTCACCCTGACATCCCTGATTAGGGTGGTTAGTGAGGGGAGGGCAGATGGGGGAGAGTGGTCAGACAAAAGCATGCAGTAGTAGAGTCAAGACACAGAAAGCCTCATCTGCAGGTTCTTTAAGCTGTGTGTGTGTGTATTTGTGTGGACAGCTCGTCTACATGTGTATGTGCTTTCAGTCTGACTGGAGGATTTCAGGGTGAGCATGCCAGTGAGCCACATACTACGTGAACACAACTGTAACACACGGCTTGGGTAAATATGTTAGAATCCATGTTTTGACATTGTTCTAATATACAGACGCACAGGTAGGACAAAGTCTACAGCTAACAATGCATCAGAAAGTAAAACCCCCGTAGTGAACCCATCATATACCACCCTGCCCGACCTGTGATCCTAAATAGCAACAACAGAAATGAAACTAACCTCAGTAAAAAGCTGCTACGTAGAAAGCCCTCCATGTCAGCGTGTGGGATTCTGGCAGGAGAAATCACAGAGAACCATTTTCACAATGAAACGAGTGATAATCAAGAAGCAGTACAAGGAAGGAAAAGGGAGAAAGGAGGGAAAGAGAAAAGGAAAGAAAGAAAACACATAGAGCATACATCTCCATCCTATAATAAGGCATGTCTTTAATTAAAGCAGAAATATGGCTATGAACCCATCCTCTTTTTTTTTTATGAACTGACATCATTAATTATACCTCTTTCCATCGAGGGAGTGGATTTGCATACAACATGGGTTTGCACTGAGAGCCTGATGATATGTTTGCATCAAATAAACTCTGCCTACTGATCTCTATACAGTCTTTTTTTCCACGGCCGTGTGCAGATATATACATGTACATCCAGCACTGTAACCACAGATCCCAGAGCAACCCCAAGTCTGTTCAGAGTAGCCAACGGTGGTCCAGCTGCAGCCCATGTGTAGCGAGGGTGCTGTGGCTTCTGGGAGCCCGGCCGCAGGGGACCCAAGCTGGGACTCAGCGCCAGTGAGGCAAAAGGATGTGGTCATGATGTCACTGCTTGCAGGGGTCGTTCAGAAGCCTTAGCCACAAAATACTGGAGACACATGGCTAAAAATGACTTACAACAGGTTTCCATTAGCCTATGTTATTGGTCCGTGTGCCGTACACTTTTATTGTGTTAAGACTGGTTGGAGATTGATTAGGATTTCCATGTGCTTTGTTTTAAGATGCAGAAATGAGCAGCAACTCCAAAGAACTATTTCTGAGTGGAACTTTTGTCAGTGGTTGAAATTTAAATATCTCAGATTTCAAAACTAACCACATAATCAGCCTCTGAAATATGGATATCTTACAAAAATATTTTCAGCAATAGAAGAAATTATTTCACTACAGCAGCTCATCACTTTACCGGATTTTATTTCAATTTCATCATTTTGAATTTCAAGACCTACAAAGTCCTTTTTAACACCAATGGAAGAAAAAATACACTTTTCTGAACTTTCCCTTATGCACATCATCACGAAATAACACCAAACACAACAGCAAATTACATCTCAGCCCTTAAACACCTTAAGTTTTAGTGACATGGGTGTAATTTGGCATTTTCTCCCCTTGCTCTCTTGGCTTATGAGACAAAGCCTCTGAGAGAATGGAAAGAATGAGCTGGGCCCAAGGACACTGTGCCTTTCAGTCTGGCCAGCACTTAGCGAGGCAGTGAATCCACAAGACCCAGAGGGCTCAGCCGAGACTTTTCTCACAATAAGGTGTCTGGGGAGGCGGGAGTGGCATAGCCAGGGGCGCTGCGGCCCTGCTCTTTTCTCCACTCAGCTTGGCCCGGTGCACATAATACCATCCCCATGCCACAGCACACCGAGCCAGTGACAACGTGAGAAAACAGCCGTCAAACAGTGCAGAGCAGATCATGCGTGTCTCCTCACTTCTCTGAGTGCAAAAAGCACACATACTGTGTGTCAGGCGTACACAAACAATACCCACATAAATGTTGATTCATCCTGAACTTACAACACAAGCAAACACATTTACATTCTGCAAATAGTATAAGAACAGAAGCAGTATTTAGATTGATGCTGATACAAATGTATGTGTAACCGAACAGAGCACTTTTTTTAAATGTTCTAAATGCGTGTTCATTTACTGACACCTGCATCCTTCAGCAGTTTTACCAACAGTTAAGCAGCAGTAGAGAAAATGACACAGATTAGGCCGTGCTCGGCATCTATCTTTGTCTTTGGTCGTATTCCACAACCCTTGTTCTTTCGCTCTGTGTGTGCTGGTGTTTCCTCAGCTGTGCCTGCTGTCTACGGTCCCATTGTGGTCAGAAACAACTGAACTTAGCCTATGGAAGCAAAGGTGCGGTTTGGATAGCAATTGACCAAACTCAGGAAAAAGTGACTGAGCCACATTGTATTTGCTCGTCTCTGAACACAGAAATACAAGAATGTCTTTAAATTAAGGTTAGGCCACAATTCAAGGGCAGGCGTTTTTTCAGCGAAGGAGAAGCAGGGAGGATAGACATCACTAAGTTGGCGTGGACCAGTCTGAGCAGCACGGCAGCCCTTTCGAAGAATGAGCCTCTGCCAAAAGCTGCCTCTGCCTAACCAAGTCTCCCACCATCTGCAACAAATGTGCTCTATTAAAGCAGTACCATATGGACAACAAGCTAGCTATTAACACGGCTTCAGCACATCCCCTTAACCTAGCCCAGATTTCAAACTTCCAGTCAAATTGACTGCTGATTTAATGCACCGCCAGCAGCCATGTGGGTCTTGGCACGAGACAGAGCTCTCAGCCTTCAGTCATTAACAGGCTCACATAGTGCGCAGCACACAGCGAGACACAGAAGTTAGCAACACAGATCCCACCAGTAACTACATCCCAGGTTACTCTGTATATCCCTTAAGCAAACCCATATGAGAAAATAGCCATATCCACAGAGGAGGATACAGAGAGCAACAGTCTGTGCTGATCCAGGAAGTCCAACTTTCTTAGGACGAGTAAACCAGGGCTCAGAACTCTCTGTTGTACTGAGTGGAAACAAGCTTATGAAGTAGATCTACCCACAGCGTTGCTGCAGTGGCAGCCTAACTGGTGGCTTATGTCTCAGTTCTTCCACAGTGATGGAGAGAGCATTTGCTCCCTTTGTGTGGATCCAAAATGGCAGTGATTAACCCCTTAGGGTGCGAGGGGGGGACACTTTAATCCCTGCGGGCCGAACGGCCATGTTGACGCCTCTGCACTCTCTGAGTCATGGGTGGATCCACCCTCTGCTCACAAAGCCACGCTCTCTTCTCGACCATAACGCCACGGCTATGAGTTCTCTGTTCTACGACCCAGAGACAACACACACACACACACACACACACACACACACACACACACACACACCAAATCAATTACAGTTCTGTGGTTTTAACCCGACTCCAAAGTTCAGTCAATTTTGTTTGTTTATTTTTTCTCCTCCTGTCTCAGCTGCTTAGATACTGTACATAATTAGAGTGGAAACACATTTCAGCTCTCTGAGGCTTGAATGTATACAGTGCTGTGGATTTACAGAATTTACTGCACATTTATAGAAACTTAGTAAAAGTCAGAATACATTTTATTTGTATTTCATATTTTTATGAAGCAAAATAACTATAATGTGAGAATATATATTGTTATTTTTAAGTTCAGTTTGGATAAAGATACATTTTCTTCTTTATTATTTTCAAAATTTTCATCATCATTTTTTAAAATTATTATTGATAATGCTGAAATGCAGCTTGATTTAATGTTTTATTATAAATTTAAAGCTTAAATATAAAACTCATGAAAGACAGGATCATTGTCACAACATCTGTGCAAGTATAGTGTCCGTATGCAAATTGAAGCGATAAGCTAAAGACTGTCTGATGACAGGCTAATTAAATAAGCCTTTCAGTGCTCTCAGTGGAGCAGAGGGATGTGTGAAAAGGTACTGACTGTTGGTTCAAGAGAAGGGGGATCCAGGACAAAATCCAAACATCCCAGCAGACACCTTTACGCCAACTCAACACCCAATCACATAACGTATGGTGAGACCTGGTCCAAGAGTCCACACACTGACATACATGCATACACACCTGCAGTCTTTGCACACACTCAGAAACACCTTATGTTACCTTTACTAATAGCAATTGTGTCACTATGACCCCTTTCCTCATCCCTTTACACAGTCACACACACATGCACCCAGACACACGCAAGTGCACGCACACACACACACACCTCAGTCAGAGCTGCCAGATGAGTAGTGAATTAATTTGTGTGAGCCACTCCAACATTAGGAAGGTGTGTTGAAAGGTGTCTGCTCATGTTTCAAATTAAACGCGCTGCTGGTCAGCATTAGCACCTCGCCACCCGTCGGCAACTGACACTTAGGGGGTGGGGGTGGGGGGGGTGGAACGGAGGGGAGGGGAGCCCATCCGCCGTTCACACTGGAATAATTAGAACATGTCAGGAAGAATTAATTTCCTCATTTTTCAAAAGGATACACAGAAATTACCATGTTATTATATGACAGGGTCCCTGGGAGGATTGGATTAAATTTGATTTCTTGCGCAGCCCACACAACAAATTAAAGTCATAAATAAGATGGAAAGAAGCAGGGCACAGAGCATATGTTTATGGCAATGAGTGAAGCCAAGGGACCAGAAACAACTATCTTCATTTCATTTTATTTAAATCAGGCCGACACCGTGTGTCTGAATGACAGCAGTTGCTAATGGGTTGAGATTAGAGGCTCCTTGATATTAACACAGGGATCCAACAACTTCAGCTGAAAAGCAAAAGAAGGCATCGATGCTACGATGAGACAATTCTGCACTGAATGAGAAGCTGGTTCTCGATCTAGGTTTTACACAACAGAACATTTTGAACTGTCTGGTTTTACTTTGTATATATCCAGTTTTTTTAAACATTTAACACAGTTTAACACTGCANTTGGATGAGATAGATCCCTGTTAAATGAGCACAATCAACTGACCCAATCCAACACCATCCCTTTACTTGGGGATGTAGATTAGACTTGTTAGCTTACCAACACAATTTAATACTTGCCAGGGAAGAATTTTTCAACTCTTTCAAAATTGCCTGTCATTAGAGCCTAGCACTCCCCTGGGCACCACAAACTTTAAATAATTTGCGAATCAATTAACTGGCTACTCTCAACGCAACAGGGATTTCACACTCCAGGGTCGTGGTGCATTATCAGCTGGAGACGATTCATGGTGTTTTGGGAGAAAAGTTCATGGTTGAAATCATTAATTCATTTAACCGGACTTTTAGTTATGCATTACTTTCCACAGCTGGGGTAGCGAGAAGATTAATGGCGTCTTCTTTGCTCCTGTTTCATGTTGGATATATAGCTACTAGGTGTCCTACAGCACAAGGGAATATACCTTGAGAACCAGGACAGCAGCCAAATCCATATTAGGTTTTTTATTCTTATTAGAATGAAATAATGTCCACTAAATATCCAAACACTGCTGCTGCTAACAATAATAAAAAGATGGATAATAATGAACTCAGAGGTTAGGTCCTTTTCATGTAGTTCAGTGTAAGAGAAATTAGACGACAGTTAACGGTTAAAGCATATTTTAGTTTAAGCACTTCATATAAGGTCATTCATTCATAATACAAAGAGCAAGCTATTAATTGAATGTAGAGTTTAGGGAAATGGATATAGTTCAGGAGGGTTCCCCACATTCTTGCCAGGTAATGAAATATTCAACAATTAGTTTTCCAAATTCACACTGGGATCCTCTGAAGTAATTGAGGCTGATGAAATTAAAATCTTTGTAAGGCGATTGAGCGGTCTCTGTTCAGAAACATATTGACCATAATCACTGCAGGGTCAGTAGACTGAAGAGGCCCCATTTGATAAATAATAGATGAAGAACAACCATCCAAAGGTTATTCATTTTCAATTAATACTGAAGTGCCGTTTATTTAATTTCTGACGAAAAGGCTCCTCTACATCCTCGCCTTCATCAGGGCCATCAATAGATGGCTGAGAACCGGGAGACCATGTTGCTGTTACTTGTTCCATGAATGGCACGTAATAACAAAGAGTGTACAGTGTGTCGCTATTCAGATGATCTCACATATCCTCAGGTGTTTCCAAATGAGATTGCGTGAGTGTAATTAAACTTGTTCTGTGAGCGGTCCAGACACAAACTAAATTACTTTCTGTCATGTTTGGAGATTAATTAAACCTGTGGGTCAATGGATCTTGATTTCAAATTGTACAAGGATCCAACTCAGTGTCTCCAAGGAGTGATGTGGCAGTGAATAGCCACTAAGGCTTCGTATAGTGTTTTATTTTCTAACAAATACTGACAGATGCCTGATAACATTACAGTGACTTGATAACACAACCATTAACACTTCCGTAGTGAGTCCTTACTATTAAAACTTCAGGGCTCAGTTTTATTGGCTCCCAGAGGAACATTTTTAGTTATTGGTGACGACTTGTAGAAGATCTTTCAAGTATTTGCACATTTTGTTTAAAATTTTAACAAATTTATTTCTGATAGCAGCTTGAGGAGTTGCTTTGTTTCTTGCATGCAGCAATACTAAAAAAGTCCCATACTGTCAATTGTGAGATTTACATCTGTGGTTGGCTTGGCCATTCATCAGTCAGAAGAGAGGCAGTATTCTGCCTAAGCATTATATCTATCCAGAAAGGATCGGGATGTCTTTTATTGATGGCTCTGCACTGCTTTAACATGTTGGATTAATTCGAGTATGCTCTTGTGTTTGTAAAACCACGTAAAATGCAAACTGAGTGTCGTTGTATGACCATTTTATGAGTTTGAGCCATTCTCAACAAACTCAACACCTCTGACATCTGGTAGCTGTGGCAGCTCGCTGGTAGACAGGTGCATGTTCATCAGAGCAGAAGATGGAGTGCAATGTGAAATGGCATAAATACACAATGGTAAATGGCCATGAACTTTGAATTGAGAGAGACATTTTCCTGCTGTTATTGGAGAGCTTCTTAACCACATTAATATGACTCCCATGATACCTCCAACTGACATTTGGAAGAAAAGAATAATATCAACTAAGTTCCTCACCTTTATTTGTTTAATATCTAAGTTTCTTTATTAGATAACCTGCATGAGCAGCAGCTGAGTAAAGATCGTTAAAGTCATATTATATTGATGCAGAGAGGACTGTAGTTTTCTTTTTTCTGTTTTTTTTTCAAAGCAAAATGCCACATTTCATTGCAACTGTCTTCCTGTGTTGTCTGTATTTCTTTGAAAAAATCACTTTAACTGCAACCAGTAAAACTTGCTCTTTGACTCTGACCTGTGTCAACTGTACAGGTGCCATACTGCATTTAAAAGGATGTATATGTAGTAGCACTATAAGCATAATTACCTGCTACATTGTAGATATGTGGGTTTTAACTACAGAAACACTCTTGTGTGAATGTGGACAACACGTTTTTGTTTTATGTACAGTAGTGGGATTATGGAAACACTGAGACTGAAATCAGTCTTGTACATTTGGAAATACAAGACTTTTATCCAGAGTTTCACAATTTAGCCGTATTTATCAAAAAAGATAAGTAGGATTTTTTTTCTGAAAGGATTTAATAGCCATTGAGATACTTACAAATAAAAGATACTAGAAAGCCTAATTTAACTAAAAAATAAATTTGAAAGATATAAAAAAAGCAAAGCAAACTGCAAGATGTTGGAGGATCTAATGTCTGAAGGTCTGTGTGTAACTTTGTGCCTATGTTACTGTCTAATTGTGCATACATTGTGTGCCTATCCGATTGTCCACCTCATTTGATGCAGGTGTTCAGTGTGGGTGAAAGACAGCAGGGGTGTGTGAGACATGGAAAGGCACAAACAGCTGAAGAGGCAAAGTGATACTTACAAAAACTGAAAGACTCAATCCCCAGCTTCCAGCAATCACTGGTCAGTTGATTTTGAATTCATGTAAATAACCTGCAAAGTAAGCAAATAAGACAGAAAGGGGAAATTTTAATCATCTTCTTGATTTCAATGTTATTGTTAATTAATACTGTAAAATATCCTACATTTCCACCAAAAACACAACATTTGAATGTCATTCATGAGAAAAATAGCTTCCATTTAATTAAAAAACGAACATTGGAACATAGTTAAAATCAACAAAGGTCTCAGAGATGTGTATTTACCTACATCAGAGCAAACAGAGACAGAACAGGAGGAAGAGAATTGGGGCCATAGTGTTGTTGGCTGAGGGTCAGAGTCTCCACAGCTGAGCAAAACAGCTTTGTTAGTGTTTGACCTCCAGTCCTCACAGCTGTCACCAACGGGAATCCATCCGAAACAATGTTTTAAAACGGACTTATCCACTACCTCATTAATCTGTCTTCCTGCCGCTGGATTCTACTAATAAACAGCTTTCATATAAAGTGGTTGTTTTATTAAATTTTACTGTCCCTCTTCAAGCACTGGCCTGCTAATGATTTATTTAGGGGGCCATGCTCTGCTAGACTCAGCGTGTGTGTTGAAGAGCTGCAATGCATAAGGTTTATTAGAGAACGCACAAATAACCAGATATACAGTATCAGTGAATACAGGCATCATCTGAGCCAAATTCATATGACAATAGAGAGAGAATTATCTGCCGACAGGACCGTGTAGCTCAGAGGGATGAAAATGCTGTAAGATCATTCATGTTCATTTTCTCACATTATCTTGTTTTTCACAATAAGCCAAGATCTCATTACCAGCTGATTTATGCAATTAGTCCGCCTCAGCACTGCCAATTAAACAAAGCCAAGGGTTTTTTAAGGTCATGCTTAACTGATCTGTCACTAATTTGCACCGCGGCACCACCGTCTCCCTATCGCCGGGGCAAATAAGCCACCAATAACAAGACCAGATAAATGTACCGACTATCGCCGCATTGTTGTAGGAGCGCAGCACGGAGTCTGCTGCGTGGGAGGCTGGAGGGCTCACAGAATGAGCCAGATAAAGGCAAGAGTTGCAGACGGGTCTGAATGCAGTAGCCTTGAGGCTGGAGGTAACAATGGGGGAGAGGGGACCCAGGTGACCCCAGCTGAATGGAACACTGTTACATGAATAGCACATTGGAGTTTAAAGTCTACTCCTGCCTCTCAAATGATGCTAAACACAGACTTCACTGTTTTGAACTGTGCTCCAGCTGCAACCACCCACCCTCCCTGCATTCACATACACATGCACACACCATTAACTTATATTAGTAGCTTTTCAGTCTGCACAACAATCCCAGCCTGCTGGATAAACCACATATTACATGGATAGTAATTCAATAAACAGTCTTTGTCAAACATCTGACTATAGGCTTGATTCATGTTGTGCAAAAATAAATGAGAACTCTTGTAATTACAGAGAGTAGATATTAACAAAGCTTTGAATTCATAATCTGACGCTGATTGAGAACAATGAGGTAAATAATACATGGGGAAATATGTTTCTTATTCATTGGTTATTTAAGTTAATCATTTGTCTGATGGAAGAAAAAAACAAAGGAATTTATAATTACAAATAATGAGCGAACCCAAATGATATTATAATGAAGCAAACTTAGTAATCCCTGTGGTGTAATAAGAGTCAGTGTCAACCAGCCTATTGTAGCTGCATGTAACAGCTCTTTTCCTGCTGTGAATTAGCCCTACAGGCAGGAAACATAAAACAGGCACTCCCCCATTCCTAATTAGACGAACGGGAACTTATTAAACACAATTCCAGTCAACCCAAAATTCAAATTATTATTTCCACCACATTTTTATTAATACATTGTCAACACACTTAACCAATATAACATGATTCCCACTATTTTCTTTAGAGGGGAGAGGAATTGTTGCCAAGTGAATTTGGCGCCATTAGGCCACAAGTGAACAGTCGGAACGAGGCACAAAGACTATTTTTCTGTTAAAAATAAAGTAACTGCATTGGAAACACTGGAGGTTTGGCAGCTCTCACACTGAATCCAAACAGACTGATGGAGTCGACATCAAAGCCGCAGAGACAGAGAGCTCACATCCACCTGTGGCATTTCTGTCAAAGAGTGGCCTTTTCTTTAGCCTGGGCTAGTCATCGCTAGCTCACACACACATACTGTATTCGCAGAGCAACACTTGTTAGGACACTGCATTGACTTCCATTCATTTTGGACAGCCTAACTGAAACCTAAGCCCCAACCTTAACCATGACCAGTGCATGCCTAACCCTAACCTACCCCAAATTTTATATGTATATTTCTTTTTATACATCAAATTAAATTGAATAGATAAATAAATCAGAGCACCAGCTAGAACCAGAATTTGTCCTTAAATTTGTTGCAGTGTAGACACACACTGATGAACACAATCTCTTTGTACAAAAGACTAAATACAAATTCCAGATTTATGCGATGAAACAGTAGGTGCTCTGATTTATTTATCTATTTAAAACCAAACTCTGTTAAATCAAACACTCCCATGTAGAAAATTCACATGCATCTTTATACGACACATCAAACACACTGTTTGCATGCTGGACTTCCTCCTCGAGCTAAAGCCTCACGTACAGTACGTGAAGGAAACTGCCACAGCACAGAATCACTTTCAAATTAACTGAACCGTCAAATCCCCCACATGTGCTCACGTACAGTGGGGGCTACACTTGATTTAATTTACCCTGACCATAACAGAGGGTTGTGTTTTCCAACCATTGCATGACAATGGCTCAGGATCAATAGAATACATCACCACAACAATAAACGACATAGAAGAGAGCGACCTCAACATAACTGTCCAGACCAAATCCAGGTTTTATGTTCCATGTAGTAGTCTATATTGCATTTCTAGTGCTATATAGTATGTGAGACATGTTTCAATTGCATTCAGGTGTCTGTATGCTTATGTTTCTGCTGTGCACATTTGTGCAGGTATGCATATGTGCATTTTATCTCCGTAGTTTAGTGGGTATGCATTAGGCAAGCCAAAACTTGTACTTCAACTTCTGTTTGGAATTCATCCAGATCTGCAACATCCTCCCAATCCTCCTCTCCAAATCCTCACTTTCTCCTGCGTCCAAACAAGCTAAAGTAGGAATTCTGCAGAGTTAGTTATTTTGACAATAGAGGTAATCTCTGCCATCAGCAGACTGCTCCCTACCTGGATACAGTGTGGTTATCTCTGCAGAAGCAGCAGCCGCACAGTCAGTGTGGCCGGGGACTGTGTAGGGGGAGTTTGGGATGCAGTGAGGTGGGGCTATAACGCCAGTCTCAGGGGAAATAGGGAAATGGGAGGAAGAGGATGGTGGTGGTGGTGGTGGTGGTGGTGGTGTCGGGGGAGGGGGAGGGGGGGGGGGGGGGGGGGGTACAGGCGTGAAGTGCAGGGCATTCTGGCACAGAAATGTCTGACATAGTAATTGAACACGTGTGATTGTATGTTAAATATCCAGTTCCATCAAGTCAATCCTCTCAGCAGTGGCATCATCTGTGAAATATGAAACGACAGCTTCCATGCAGTGAGTAATCACCATAGCCGGGAATGAGAAGACAGCAGTGGGCAGGAAACAGCCAGAGTTCAGGTAAACTCGAGGCACTTTGTCACGGATCATTTTATGGAGGCAGAAATTGTGGAGTTTTTGTCACCTCACCTCATTAATTTACTCACTTCCTACTGATGTGATAAACTTCAGCAGCTATGAGCTAAGAAAAAAAGTTCAATCCTGTGATGTTAAGTCGAGCATTATTTCTACAAGAGATCCACTATGTCATTGAGTAATTTGGTGTTGGAAACAGGTCGGTCACATGCAAACAGCTGTTTCATGCTCCAGTACACCCATAACTGTCACGGCCAGACAAATCTCTCCTTTCTCCTCTTTTTATCTTTACCCTCTGTCTCCCTCAAACTGCCTTTTCTTTTCCTGTCTGGGGCCGATCTGGCAGACGAGACATTCACAAAATGTCTCGCACCAATGTGTTAGGAATGACTGCCATAGCATCACTCCGGTTAAAATATCTTTGTTGAGAGTAAAAAAAAAAAAAACACTGGGCAGTGTTATGTCAAAACTGAAGAGCAACGGTGTCAGATAAAGCAGAGAAAAAAAAGATCTCTTCTGAGTTTTTTACAGGCAGCAGCCTGATATGGATACAGTGCTGTGGCTGAGTGAGGCTTTCATGTGCTGCTTGGCAAATACATTATCTGTCATTTCCTCTGCGTCGAATAACAAGAATCAAAAGTCTGTTTACTGAGCAGCCGGGCTGAGAGGCAGCGTGCAGGGAGCGAAGCAGCTAATAGAATGTTTTCCTCCGCGATGGACGGCGTTCAGTCCCCAGCTCTCCTAACAGGCGGCTGTGCAACCTATCAATTCTCTTTGATTCCCCCTCATATAGTCTTCACTTCAAAGACTGTTAAGACAGAGAACACATAATAAGCTTGTCTTTTCACACACTGACGAGACCTCTGCTCTTATAACTTACAATATATGCTCTTTCTTTCTTCCCTTCCTTATTTTCTTTCTTTCTGTGCATTGGGGGGTCTCTCCCCCTCTCTCCCAGGTAATGTGTTTATTTTTCCTCGACCCATCTTCTAGTTTACTGTGTGGTGGCGTTTCTCCCCTCTTATCGCCTGGTCCTCGCGGGGCACTTTAGCCCTTCAAATCCTGTTCACCATATACTCGTTTCAGAATCTGTGAAATGAGTGCTAGAGAAGCGTGGCCACAATGTCTGCCTGTGTTGCTACTGGACTCGAATGGGCTCTGTGCTTTTTTTTTGTCCAGGGAGATGCATAAATGGAAGTTTTTAACACCTCAAAGGAGGCTGGGCCTTTGTGGAGCCACACTAGAGAAGCCTGTCAGTCTCCCGAGGAGGCAGACACACTGAGTGCTGCAGGACAAAGAGCTTAGAGGAGGACAATCAGCAGGGGCATCACTCTGCTTTGGGCACCGGGCAGACACACACATGTACACCCACGTTTATAGCT